AACCAGTCTACACTACGTAGTGTAGAGTTCAGTGATCGAGGGGAACTAGGGGGCAATATTTTTACATTTCAAAATTAAATAATCCTGAATGAGCTTTGAAAACTAGCAGGAATTTCAGGAATTTGATCCCGGGATTTGATAAAGTTTTCTATGATATTCAAGATGAAAGAGAAAGAGGAAAAACACCCCCTTTTTAAAGAAATCTCCGGTGAAAAGTCAAATACACCCCCTTTTTTTACAATTCTTGGGCTGGATTTTGTCGCGCAAAAATACCCCTTTACCGGAGATTTTTGGAACGCGCATGCGGTCCCTCCGACCTCGGAGTGGTGGGGGGGCCGGGCATTTCTATTAGGTTCATATTTTACCAATGATAACTAACAAGTTTAATATACTTAAGATTATGCTATTTACTGAGAATGAGGGAATAATGTTTGCTGTATGCAAGAGTTTCTTCACTAATCATTACATGGAAGATATACACGAGCTAGAAATATTGTGATTGGCTCAAATCTTAGGGTACAGGAAAGTGGAAGTTATAAGTCCTAGAAAATGTCTGGTAAGATCTTTTGCCATTTATCAGGCACCTTGACACTCACTATTGTTGGCAGGAGTATGCTCTTCGGGTACCTGCAGGCAGTGATGTCCCGATCATTGATTATAATCGAAAGTCAGTCGTTTGCAGCAACTGACCGAGCGCTCGATTAGGAAAATATATAATCGATTATCAAAAAAAATTTGCAAACATTGATGAAATGATTTTATTTTATTTGTGTGTGTTTGTTTTGGTTATATTTATAGCATACACCAAACGTAAGCAAGTGTACTGTTACATAGCTTTTCGAATATTGTATTATAAAAAATACTGTATTAAATGATATCTTTCAATATCTGGTAGACGCGATCAATAACATTCAACCGATTATCTTCGATCATCGATTGGTTGGGTGCAACCGATGATCGATGATGAAATTCTAACCGATTCCCATCACTATCTGTAGGTAGCTAAGCTAGCTGCTGCTAGCAAGTAGATGTTTAGGCATGAATGTAAAATTTACAGCTTGTCCTTACCAGCTTGCACTGCCAAAGGAGGCAACATCGTGTCATCTTGGACAACCTATATATTTTGGTTTTGCAGCTGCTGTCAGGAGGAAGCTCGATGAAGAACTGAAGTCAAAAATTAAGAGGCTTAAAAAATTTGATGGCCAGCACATTGTGGTTCTCAAGTTTGAAGCATATTCGCTGAATGAAGATGGCTTGACCGGCCCCCAGCTGTGCAGTCCTGTCTTTTCTAGTGAGGTAATCAACCAAAGTAAGTGCGAATGATGTTCCTGCTACGTATCTCCATGTGGTACCATTCATAGGCAAAATGGGTTTACTTGAGTGGCTTCTGTAATAGAATGCATTATTACGAAAACGTTAATTGGTGACATCGAATTGTGGTCATGTTCACTATCATTCACTATAGCAATCCTTTATTTCTTGTCTAGGATCAACCCAGAATGGAGAATTGAGGATATATAAGATTGGAAAGTCAGCAGAATCTTGCCAAGGTGGTCAAAGCAGAGAGAATGATACTGAAATGTTAATGTTCACTAGTAAAGTAAAGAAAGGAGGTAAAAAATGTATAGGTTTACCTGTCAATGTGTGTTACCTGTAATGTCTAAAAATGTGTAAGTGCAAGCTGCACCACAGTATTGCAACGACACGCTAGGCCAATAAGCCATATTATAAAATCCTCGCCACCATATTGAGATCAGATAAGATTAAGAGTATATATAACTTGACTATATATAACATAGTTACGATAGTACTAGTCTAGGCTTTTTATCTATAATCTCTTCACTAACATCGTACTTCAATTCACAGGTGCGTTTCTGTTTACAGAGACATTTACAAATATGATTGTGGCCATTTGGGATATTTTGCAATGTTTGTGAAAAACGCACGAGTGTTTACATTTTAATAATATACTTATCGAACATGTCAACTCTGTGGTTGAATCAATCCCAATCTCGAACAGTAAGCTGAGACAGCTCGAATCGGAATTGAAGAAGGACCCAACCATGTGCCAACTGAAAGTCGAGATCGCAAACAGCTGGTCGACAGAGAAACACTTGCTATCGGCGGAACTGCAGGAGTTTTGGCAGTTTCGTGACGAACTATCGATCGCCAACGACATAATTCTCAGAGGGGAATGTCTGGTAATTCCTAAGTCGATGCGTCGCGAAATGTTGACGAACATACATGTCGGACATTGGGGCATTGACAAGAGCAGAAGTCGTGCTCGAGAAGTGTTATTCTGGCCGGGAATGTCGGCTCAGATTAAAAACATGATCCTGCAGTGCAAAGTATGTATAACACATCGCAATGAGAATACGAAAGAGCCGATGATGGCACATGAAATGCCTACAGTTCCATGGGAAACTGTAGGTACAGATCTGTTCTACTGGGAAGGAAGTCAGTATCTCGTCGTCGTCGACTATGTTTCCAGATATCCGGAAATAGCGAAGTTATCCGGCACAACATCTAGCGAGATCATAACACATATGAAATCCATCTTCGCTAGACATGGCATTGCGCGGGTGGTCGTAAGTGATAACGGACCACAGTACAGTGCATCTACGTTCAAACAATTTGCAAAAGACTGGGGATTCGAACACAGAACATCGAGTCCTACGTACCCTCAGTCAAATGGATTAGCCGAAAAGTTTGTCCGAATCTTGAAACAAATGCTTACGAAGTGCAAAGAAAGTGGAAGCGATCCATATCTTGCATTGTTGGAGTACCGAAACACGCCGATCGATGACATAGGTTCGCCGAGTCAGATCTTGATGAGTCGTCGTTTGAATTCGGTTATTCCGGCAACTGTTCAACAACTGAAACCGAAAGTTCTGGATGAATCGTTGATTCGTGAGAAGTTCACGAAAAAACAACTACGGCAGAAACAATATTATGATCGTGGAGCGAAAGGGTTACCGCCACTCCGAGAGGGAGAAGATGTGCGAATTAGAAGTGGGAAAAGGTGGATTCCTGCTACCGTAAACAGTGAAGCGTCACAACCTCGTTCATACAACGTCGTCACACACTCCGGTCAACAGTATAGACGCAACCGGCGACATCTGTTAAAGACTGGCGAAACGCATGGCGATCCATCGGATAACATCGATCCGGAAAATGTCCCAGACACAGCACCAAACATTGCCTGCGGTGGAGCTTCTCAGTTGCATGCTCCTATCGAGACTCCGGACACCAATGTGAACAGTCAGATGAAGGACACCGTGTACACAACTCGATCCGGAAGAACTGTAAAGCCACCCTCGCGATTTGATGATTACGCTTAAAAGGACTTGGGACATTGATACCTAAAATGTTTGTAAATGACAGCACCAGGAGTTCTAACTTCTCAAAGGGGGGGTTGTAACAATCTCAGATCTGGTAATACACCATCTGGTGCTGCCATCTGTAGTGGTAAATAGAATGAGGGATTGCATCATGGCGGCTGAGCATTAATGGGAATAAAAATAGTTGTAGTAATCATATCGTTCTACATCCTTGTGGTATGATACAAACACGCACTGAAACAACAGCTGGACTTTCCAATATCACTTATATGATCGCAGTGAGAGAACTGAGTAACCTTCTAAAAAAAATTCCGATTACTCCCACGAAGCTGCAGGGGCGAAATTTATTTATTTTTATTATTGAACACAGACAGTAATGGAATATGGCTCTTCAGCTCTGGTGTTTTTATCCTTTTTGCTCGTTCAACTGTACACTGCAACATGGTTGACCGTGTAAGACTCTGTAGCGCAGGTGGGGGCTCGTGTCTATATAACCCATTGCATGTATATATTTATACTGTAGGTATGTTATTATGAGACATGCGTGATAATATATATATGGTCGTGCTCGTGGTCAATATATGGTCACAACCGTCATAGCAATCATCTGATTTAATTTG